CACCTTTGGACGTAAAGGCGAATTGTGGATGTTTGACAATGCAACCGCCTGGTGACGATGACTCTATGTTCCACTCAAAATGAATGTCTTGTCGATAGCGGAAAAGACCAGGGTTCCAATTGAGATACAGGCTCTCGAAGTGTTGTATGACCTGCTCCAATCCAATCCAGAATGTCGTTGGATGCGGCCGATCCTGAGTGGGGACGCTATCCCTGTGATAACTCTCAAGGCTGTAGTTAGAACTACGACTGGATGTAGACGCAGGCGGATCCATGGTCGTCACAGCCGAAGGGCGAGGGCCGCGCCAGCCTTTGCCTTCGACCCATGGATTCTTGACGAGCAACAGTCGATCATGCTCTGTCTCTCTCATATCCAGCACGACGTAACTGTGTTGGCCCTCGAGACCAAGTTCACGCTCCTGCCTGGTCGACATCTTGCCAGTACCTGCTGTGACCAGAACATCGCCGTACAGGAAGGCGTTGTGTATGCGCTTCCATATCTGATCTGGAACCGTATCGGCCCTATAAGAGTTAGTATGGTCAGCTATGGGATTAGAGAAGAAACAACTTACTCTTGCAAGAAGACCTGTTCTGGTATCCAGCCCGTCAAGGTCCAGAGATCACTGCACGAGTTGCTTCCAGGGAAATCGTAACCGCCGCGAACTTTCAGGTATGCTTTCTCAAGTAGTGCTGGCCATAAGAGGGCTGGATTACGGCGGTCGAAAACATGAAGCAGACGATGTGTCTTTGAGACAGGTAGTCGATCGTCGATAACCACCTTTCTCCAACAGCCGTTGAAGTTGAGTCGTACGATGTACTTGCCATTAGACGAGGTCAACGGCTTTCCAAGGTGCCTGTCATATGGATATATCTTGTTCGTGAGCATCTGCCACGGTTAGTACCGAGACTGCAGAACTTCCGAGGATGGCAAACCTGATCGTGACCGCGTTCTGAGCGAGCAATACCAGCGCATAAGCTTGTGACCACCGAGCAATCTGAAGCTGCATCCTGTACAAGATCGAGAGGCCTCGTGCTAGACATCAAGGGCCCGATACCAGCCCTACCGTTGGGGAACTGCGAGGGTGGCGGCACAGCTTCTTTGGCACGCAGCCAACCGAGAAAGAACTGCTGTTGGTATGAAGACAGACTAAGATCTCGCGTATCCCTGTCGCTGTCAGTATGTCTGAACAACCCCAGTATGACCATCAGGTAACGTACGTGTAGGCAGCCTCGCCTTCCGACACGAATTCATCTGCAGATGGAGTCTTGTCCCAAGGTGGAAACTTGAAGCCATTAACTGTCGAGGCTTTCAACAAGATGATGCTTTCTTTTGTGGGTAGTTTCCTGCTTGAAATCGGCTCTCGTAGCCTGTGTATCTGAGAATGAGGTGCGGTTGAGGGGGTTAGAGCTGCTGTTTGCGACCCGGGTACTCCAGACTGGGACTCTGCGCTAGAGGGCTGTGGCACTGCAGATGAATTCAACACGAACTCGTGTCCGTTCTTCGGATGGTTGTCACGGTCAATTTTGGCGTTTGAGCTATCTTCGTGTGACGCATCAGTGACTGCACTTGGTACATCGATTGGAAAGGCGTCATCCGAAAGATCAATAAGCGGCATTAGATCTCGGCGCGCATCTTGCTGGAAAGAAGGAACGGCTGAAGAGAGATCTGACTGATGAACGAATGCTGAGAACGAAAAAGCTGATGATTTACCTGAAGTTGCTGGACCGTCGATAGGTCCTGTAGTCGAAGAAAGAGCCCAGCGGGACGTGTTTGAACGCGAAGTCGAGTCTTCAAAGGTTGTACCTGGGGTTGCAGTCCCGGCGACCTCCTTGGCCCATTGACCTACTCGCTCATCTCTGGAGTTGGAGGACTGGGGTTTGACTAGAGGTGTCCATGTGTCATCGGCCTTGATGCGATCGGCACGAGTCAACATCTCGCTGCATTGCGCCTTGAGCTCCTTCCTTTCGTCTGGGTTTGACGATAGTTGGATCGCCTCCATGAGGTTCTCGGCCACGCTGATTGCAAGACTGAATGCTTCATCCTTGGTAGTGGCTTTGTCAACCCGCGAGCGATAGTCCTGGTAGCTTGATTAGTTGGGACTACAACGCGGGACTTGATGTTGCAGCGAGAAGTTAGTTGTCTGTATCACATACGCTTGCGGCCGCCTTGTAAGCCTCAATCTCAGTGGCCCGGTCAGCCATCGTAAATGGCTTGAGACAGGACACGGTAAGAGAAATTTGACCAATACTAGCAGCGACGACGAAGCTACTTGCGTTGTGCCATAGCGATGCGACTGACTATGGGTGAGTGGAGTCAAGGCGCACTAAGAAGCTGTGATGGTGCTTTGGTGTTGTGATGTTGTGATCTGGGGCGGAGTCTTTAGCGCGACGCACGTTCCTGCCAAACGGCCGTCGCGACTGCCAGTTGCAGCAGGAACAGCCAGTTCCAGCGCATAATTGACGAATCTAGACGTCTCCTTCCACGTGAGAGGCATATCCAGCCAGGCACGGCTTGCTCACTTTCACCGAAGTGATCGACAGCGGCTGCGGTGAAGGAAGGTCCAAGGGAGCAGGGTGTGTCGTCATCCGAACCTGAACCTCGGCCTCTAGGACCTCGGGAGAGGTCAGCCATGCATGCGACAGCGCTATCGCGTTGCGGGCACCATGAACGTCCCCTGCCCGCTTTTTCTAACTTCCGATGCTGCTATCTCCAGTCTTCAGATTATTACTGTCATGATGAGATAGTCCGAATTAGTCGCTGATTCCACACCATATCCTCCGCCCGTCACACACTCCGCAGTCGCAACACTTCGCCAAGCCTCAGCAACTGTGCTCGACTACCACTATGGCCGGCCAGTCAAAGGTAGAAACTCTTCCACCATGGGGTAATGCTGTCGCAGGCGCCGCTGGTGCCGTCATCGCAAACACCCTTGTCTACCCCCTAGATTTGTACGTCGCAAATTCCCCGAGCCTTTTTGGGCAGAACGCAAAGATACTAACACAACCTCAGGATCAAGACGCGACTACAGGTCCAGGTTAAGCGCTCGCCTACGTCCAACGACCCCAATCCCGCCGACCACGAACACTACGATGGCGCCATCGACGCGTTGCAGAAGGTCTTTGCGCAGGAGGGTCTTTCTGGACTATACGCCGGCATAGGAGGCTCTCTGCTCGGCGTAGCATCGACCAACTTCGCCTATTTCTACTGGTATACCGTGGTACGCAGCCTCTACATGGCGAACCGCACGCTTCAAACGTCACCGAGCACGCCGGTCGAACTCTCCCTCGGAGCGCTTGCGGGAGCGCTCGCCCAGCTTTTCACAATCCCGGTCGCAGTCGTGACGACGAGGCAACAGACCATGAGCAAGGCGGAGCGCAAGGGCATGATCGCTACGGCTATGGACGTGGTCAACGGCGATGACGGCTGGACGGGGCTTTGGCGAGGACTCAGGGCGAGTCTGGTGCTCGTCATCAACCCATCAATCACATACGGAGCGTACCAGCGATTACGGGAAGTCATGTACCCAGGAAAGAAGACGCTGAAGCCTCTCGAGGCGTTCCGTAAGCCACGACCACGACCATAAGTCAAGGAAAGATACTAACATCTGTCAGTCATCGGAGCCATGTCCAAGACGCTTGCCACAATCGCAACCCAGCCGCTCATCGTCGCGAAAGTCGGTCTTCAATCGAAACCTCCACCAGCCAGGAACGGAAAGCCTTTCAAGTCCTTCACCGAAGTCATGCAGTACATCATACAACACGAAGGCCCGGCGGCGCTATTCAAGGGCATCGGACCCCAGATTCTCAAGGGTCTGCTCGTCCAGGGTTTCCTCATGATGACCAAGGAGCGCATCGAGCTTTCCTTCATCTTGCTATTCCGATACTTCCGCCAAGTACGCGCCGAGAAGCTCCAGAAGCTGGCGAATATTGCGGCAGAAAAGGCCGGTAAGGCAGCACCGATACTGGCCAAGTAGGCCTTGGCTTGCTGGCATATCCTTACCTTCATCTCAAGTGTATATATTCGACTTTATACTTGGTTACGGAGGCGGATTGGCCGAGCGTTGTGTTGATTTCAATCTGGCGTTTGGCATTGATTGTTATCGCGGTTATACACATAGTCTGTCTTGTAAGCATTCTTGAATTTCTACCATTGTGTACACTGTGCTGGTGATGTGTCATGACCATCGTTGCGGCCACGCTAGCGGAGGCGCCGTGCGGAGGCTGTGAAGAGATCCGAGCAACAATGTCCATTCACGCAAAGAAAACCTTAACTAGAACGCCACGCTAATTCTCCGTTACTGTGCCACTATATCACACCGGTCTTCGTTTTAGCGCTTCTTGCTTCTCAGGTCCATCAACAATTAGGAACACTGCCCAGGTGATCACGCACATTTGACTCACAACTCATTGATATCGCTGTAGCTCCAATACTTTACTCCTACCACCTCTTGCAAATCCACAGCATCCGTAACTACAGATGTGCTATCTCCGACCTACAAAGTACGCATGCGGCCATGTTTCTCCTATCCACAAACCAGGCCGCCAACGCCCAACTGCCAAAGAGGATGCTAATCAATCAGACCCATACGCTGAGGTAAGATCTGAGGTATACGAAATGCATACAAGACATACACTGACTTCGAAATAGTGGCCAACACATGAGGACACTACGTTGAATGGGTGCCAGGATTCTAATCGTAGAGGTGCGCGATGCCCGGACCTTTTGGAGAACTTGGAGGTGGTATATCAAGAGGAGGAGGGCGGCGAGTGTGATGAGTGTAAGGCGAGGAAAAAGTGCACAGTCTTGTAGGGGAAGATGGAGTGAGCCGATTGAGGGTACGTGAAAAAGTTATCGATCACGTTGATAGAAAGGTAAGTAGCGATGCTTATCGCAGTGTCATATAATCTACAAAGATCTCTATGCGGGTTGGCAAGTATCTTTCAGCCGGCTGCCAAGTAATGACATATCCATGTATGCCGATGTACGCGACGGTACGTGAGTTAACCATGCCATCTAGAGTCTCCTTCCCACAGGCCCAGCCCGAGAGCCTCCTGCTTGATAGCATAGTACCTGTCTCGCTCCTTAAGCTGATATATGTTAAATGTATTTCGACTTTACAGAATGGTTCCACTTACCCTGTGCTCCGTGGCCTCACGACTCTGATCCTCATAACTAGGATTATCCCAGCTTTCATCGTACTCGGTTTGTCGGCGAAAGGTGAAGAGCCTAGGGAAGCCCTCGTCATCGTGTTCCTGTCTTTCCAGCATGTAGGTATCATTCCACGCCTGGCGGTCCATTTGTGGAGAGTAAACCGACTCGAGAGCTCCATCGTTTCCACGTACGGGGTACCACGGCGTGGTCTCGCCAACGCGCACCAGGGACAGCGTTTCGAGTACATGGCAGTGTTCGAAGAAACTCCTAGCTACGAAACTTTGCTCTTCGTCGAGCTCATGTTCCCAATACATATCCCCAACGGCGCTGCCATCTCCTGAATCGTCATCGGAGAACTGCTCTTCCTCATCTTCATCGGTGATCTCTTGCCTGGCAGTAATGGAGAGATTGGTGAGCCTCTGAAACAAGCCGAAAGCGGTTGCGAAACTCTAAGTATAAATTAACATGAAAAAACGTTACAACGAGTAGCACTATGCGCTCGTACACTGATCTGTTCATGGCCAATTGCACCTCTCAAGACCAAGCTCTGGAGATCTGGTAAATACTGGTGCAAGCGTTGTATGTCTTCCAGTTGCCACGCGTCACAGCAAATTTCGACAAGTTTCAATCTCTTGAGAGTTGCTACCGTCTCCATCAGACCATCGTGACCAAGGTTGTACTCAAGAGCCAGTGTTTCGGTGTTAGGACAGGCCTCCACCAGGAATGACCAGTCGCCATGTGACAGAATGCGTAGACGTAGGACCGTGGGAAGAGTAACTTCATGGCGCTGGAAGGTCGCTCGTAGGCCGGATATATCGACGTCCTTACGATGTGTAATGGACAGCTCAACGAGAGACACCATCTTCGGAAGAGCCTTGGCAAGTCGAGTCCTGCAGAATGTTGTCTTGCCTCTCGACGTGGTGACTATATCACAAGCCCTTTGGATTTATGAGATTAGCATAGAAACGACCCGAATGCCCAAACTATCCATAATACAGACCCATACATACTTGATGGCTGGTAGAACCTCAGGAAGGGATGGAATAAGCGGATTGCCTTCCAAATCTCTCAAGCGTCGATTGAGGGCGCCCATGGAAGAGGCGCAACGGAAAACATGCGCGAAAAGCTTGGGAATAGAGATTGCTCGCATTCTCTTGCTCACTAGTGACAGGCAGAAAAGCGAAGTGCCTTTAGCACGAAAGCCAAAGCCCGTCTTCGGTTCCTTGCGCCCGATATTCCAGTTCCAGTGGCAGACCTGCATTGTGGATTCCTCGTGAATGTAGTCTATAACGATGGCAAGAACATCGTTATTCAGACCATCAAGGGTAAGTTGCTGAAACGGGACTGCCTGGGGACAATGCAGTCCTTGCACAGGTGCTGATGTCGGTTGTGGTGGAGTTGGCGGACGAGAGGGCAACCATTGTAGAGCGTAGGGATCTGAAGATCGCAGTGCTGGTGTCAGAACGGGGACCTGCTGGGAACCTCGAGTCGGGACTTCTGTGAAATCCTCCAGCACTTGTTGAGGCTTATGCGGATTAGGCGAAGCTGCTGTAGGCTGAGGGGATGAGTTTGTCATGGTTAGTGCGAGTGATCAACTTCCACCGAGTGGATTCGTATGCCTCAGATGACCTCGAAGGACCTGCTGCCGTGAACGGCTGCGTTTCGGTACGAGATGAGCTGGGAAGAAGAGTGCTAAGAGAAGATGAGAGGAAGCTGGTAGACGCGTCTGCCCAGGTGATTGCTCGCGTGACTAGCGCGTCACTCTAGTCCGCATTCGGTGAAAGGCCCTTCCAAACCCTCTCGGGTCGCCCTTCCGTCATTCTGTGATGGGAATGCCTAGGTGTAAAAGTTCCAGCATACAAGACGATACAATCTTCCGAAGAGCAAGACAAGTCGGCGCTCACGCGAGTTTGATTCGAACCTCACCACAAGATGGATGTGTGCGCGGGCGCCGACATGATCTCGAAATGCAGCAATCAAGCAGGATACTTTCGCATGTATGCTTACGAGATATAGGTTATAGCTTGCCACTCTCAAGCTTCAGCTGGAATCTGAGCGGGCTTGTACGCAATACACGGTACAATAGTGGAAATGGATGTGATTGACGTCATCGATACGAGGGCATGTCATACTAAGGCCAGTAACTATACAGTCTGTTCAAACGTACCCATTTCAACAGCACACTTCCATCCCGATAGCAAACTTTATCTAGCACAATCATGCTCGAGTCATCAAATCAATTACCATGGCATTCCATACCGTCATCCGCCGCAACATGCAAAGTCCTCCTCATTCAGGCCGGCGGCATACACATCCCTACAGACATGGTCTTGCTTCCCGGTCCGGACAAGCCGCAAGACCCGAACGACTCTAAAGACGAGAATGGAAAACGCAAGTCGTTCTATGCTCCAGATTACGTGTTCCTCATCGAGCACACAGCCACCGGGAATAAGTACATTTTCGACCTAGGCATGCGAAAAGATCTGGAGAACCTTCCGCCTCTTCTCGTGGAAGGCGCTCTACCAAACTTCAAGTGCGAACCGAAGTCTCCAGCCGAGATACTGCAAGAGCATGGATCACCTGATCAACAGCCCGAGAAAGTCAAGGCTGTTATCTTCTCGCACATGCACTTTGATCATGTCGGCGATGGAGCCAAAGCCGGGTTTGAGGAGGCGGAGTTGTGGGTTGGACCAACTTGCTGCACATATGCGAGACCTGGTTATCCGGTTGATGAGAAGGCTCCTACGCTTAGCGAGACTTTGCCAGTTGATGGGAGCAGAAAGATTGTAGAGAGCTATGTACCAGACGATGTTTTGAGAGAAGCAGGAGATAAGAGGGCAGGTCAGGTCATGGAAGGCTTGGTAAAGGGAAAGTACGCTGCTGTCGATCTAAAGAAGCCTGAATGGATTGGTCTCGGTGCGTTTGATCGCGCATATGACGTCTTCGGTGACGGCTCAGCATACATCGTGGACGCGCCAGGACATTCTCCGGGCCATCAAATGATGCTAGTGCGAACAACATCGAGCTCGAATGACAAAGAGAGTACGTTTGTACTGCTCGCTGGTGACTGTTACCACCACCTTGACGTTCTCAAAGAGCCCAAGCGCACTGCGAGACCACCATATGCGAAGTCAGGCATGCACGCCGACCCAGAACAGGCAGTGGATACAATGCTTCGCACGAGAGAATATTCGCGCAAAGACAACGTGTGGGTCATTGGAGCCCATGATACCAGTGTCGGCGAGGGCATCAAGCCCGGAGTGAGGGAGATAGGAGGATTGGTAGAGATCAACGATTGGTCAGCGAAGGGATGGAAAAAAGGAATGTAGAATGCACCAAAGTATCACGATGACCAATTCATCGTAAGCAAACTATAGTGTTCACCCTCCATCGATCATCTTATTTGCAATCATTCACATGCTCCGACACCAAGCTCTTGGCTCCCGAGACACCAAAAGCTTGACCACCGTCTCCTCTCCCGAATTTGCGTCACATTGTCCGCGGCCCACCCATGGCCACCGCGTCCTGACAAGGACCACCCAACCCCATCGCTCGGTAACAAGTGTAGATCCCGCGGAGTCCGAGCATTGCCGTTACCCGTGGCGAGGAGCGGTTCATCTCGCGATGCGGCACGCAGGGTTTCGAAGTGTTTGAGTGGCTTGGACGCATGAACGACAGTGGCGTGATACTGGTACTTGGGATCAACGGCTGCCTGAAATCTGAGGGAGCCAGGCTAATTAGGCTGATCTTGGAATCGGCAAGTCTGGACAGTTAGATCGGCATGGGATGTTGGGGATGCGGACATTTGGTATTCGAATTGCATCATTAAGAATTCTATGGGATATCGTAGACGTTGAACATGTGTCTTCAGCCGCTTGCAGCTTTCAAGATTAACCAACAACAACCAAAAAGAGGAGCGAATTATATACAACCATGTAATAAGTGACAATTCGCTCAATATAGCAAATGGTATACTTCTCATCTTTTTCTCCGCGTTCCTTATCATAACCCCACGACTGCGTCTAGAAGTTCTCTTTGCCCCACACGTAACTGAAGCCGGGCTCAGAATACATGTTGCACTTGACGTGGAGCGTTGAACCAAGACCCTTGGGTCCACAGAAGAAGACACCGGCTTCGGCGGGTGAGTGAATCTTGCGGATGGACTTGAAGATCATGTCCCAGTTAGGGCGACCGAAGTTTGTGGGTGCGCGGAGACCGGTGATGGCGTCTTGCTCTGCATTTGCGTCGTTGATCATGATGTTTGTCGCGTCGTCTGCCTTGATCTTTGCTGTGAGGTACTGTGAAGAGGGTTAGTAGATCGTCAAGAGCGAGTTATGGACATAAAACTTACGGTGTGGATCTCGATGTGATCATCGATATCTTGCGCCTCGATAGCCAGCAGCAACGATCTGAACCATTCGAAAGATCCGAAGTCTCTGCAGATCCAGAAGAAGTAGACCTTCCTCAGTCTCGTACGGGATCCTTGAGGGTAATTCATGCGGTACCAGATACTCTTAAGAATGGACGCGAAAGGTGTGACACCGATACCGGCACCACAGAGAACGGCGACTTCGAACTTGAACACATCCTCAGAGGCCGAACCGAAGGGACCATCAATGTAGACTCGGGGAAGAATTTGACGCAAGGCGATCTCTTCGCTGGACCCACCCTTCTCACCCTTCTCGCCGGCTGGCTTCTTGTCTGTGTTGCAGCCAAGCGCCTGTCCGAAAGCCTTGGTGAAGTTACCGACCATACGAATGTGCACCGAGATGTAGTCTTCCTCGGGTGCGCTGGTAAGCGTGAAGGGATGGTATTGCCAGATGGAGATCTCAGGGCAGCACAAGAAGATGTACTGTCCAGCACGGGTCTTGGTGTGCTCCTTCTTGATCTGAACTTCGCAAACGTTGCTGGGGTGCTGGATGACCTTGGAAATATACGTCTTGTGTCGTCCTCGTACTTCACGGGCAATTCGCTCGGCCAGGTACGCAAATCCACCATACATCCAGTACTCCCAGAAGACACCGATACCGTCGCAGAAGGGAGCAAAGTCGGGCTGAATCATGCAGAAGGCTCCGTGGATGGACCAGAAGATGAAGAAGACGATGAACAGATGGTGCATGTACCAGAAACGTTCGAAGTTGGCGCGACGAGCCTTCTCCGCAGCGGTGACGGCGATGGCCATGAGCGCCGTCAGCATAACATAACCACTCCATCCAGGTCCAGTTGCAAGGTTGGCAAGGATGAAACCCATGAATCCCAGGTTGTTGGAAGCCGAAAACTTGGCAAGGTTGTTCCAATGGGCGATAGTGTGGACCCACGAGAAGAAGACGATAGACCAGGCGACCAGCTTGTGGAAGGTGATGTTCTTGTCGAAAGGAATAACGTCGTTCAACGGCGTACGACGAGCCATGGAGATTAAGTTCCTGCATACCGGGAAGAGGATGAAGGCAACGTCGACGTGCAATACGAGAGCGGCTGAACGAGCAATGGGGAAGGTCAGACCAAAGGTCTGTCTTGAACCAATGGAGTTGTCCTAGGACTTGTGAGCGGCATTCGTCGTAATCTGAGCTATCCATTCATACCTTTAGCCCATAGTTCATCATACCAAAGACGAAGACCATGACGTGCAATATCGCAAATGTAAAAACAAAACTAGATACGTTAGTCGAGGCTCTTCACACACGGTGTAGTGCAACGTACAATCTTCGGTAACCCTCATTGACCATCCACACATCAAATTTCTCTTTCCGGGTCAACTCTCGCGCTTTTTGGTCCGACATCTCTCCGGACATGAGCATGCGCGTCAGCGGCGGCCATCGTGACCGCTCACGACCTGTGAGACTGGTGGTGTACGACATAGTTGACAGAAGAAGCGAACGTAGCAGCGATTGAGTGCGTGTTGTGGATGCCGATGATCTTCAGACCTGCTGAATGTGGCCGAAGTAGCAATGAGTTCAAGGAGTGTCTAAGTAATCTGTACAAAGGTTAGATCAAAGCCACCAGGGACGACGACGCCATGGTACAGGAAGCCACGTGAAAGAATGGATTGACTTACTAAAAGTGCCCGCACAAAAGAAGAGAAAAGGTACAGGA